TTGTCTTTGGTGCATATACTGTCAGTGTACATAAAGAAAAAATAAAATACATTTATCAAGAAGATACAACACTTAGTGATAGTTATAGGTTACTAATAAGCAATCGAAATACTAGGAAACAAATAAAACAATATAAATTGTAAAGATACAAGCAACACAATTATAGTCATAAGTGGGAAGAGGTAGGTACTAGGAAGGATGAGAAGAATAATAGTATTACAGTCTTAGTAAATAATTTGACATTGGGAATTACACTGCTCAAAAAAATAAAGGGAACACTTACACAACACAATGTAACTCCAAGTCAATCACACTCCTGTGAAATCAAACTGTCCACTTAGGTAGCAACACTGATTGACAATCAATTTCACATGCTGTTGTGCAAATGGAATAGACAACAGGTGGAAAGCATAGGCAGTTAGCAAGACATCCCCAATAAAGGAGTGGTTCTGCAGGTGGTGACCACAGACCACTTCTCAGTTCCTATGCTTTCTGGCTGATGGTTTGGTCACTTTTGAATGCTGGCGATGCTTTCACTCTAGTGGTAGCATGAGACGGAGTCTACAACCCACACAAGTGGCTCAGGTAGTGCAGCTCATCCAGGATGGCACATCAATGTGAGCTGTGGCAAGAAGGTTTGCTGTGTCTGTCAGCATAGTGTCCAGAGCATGGAGGCACTACCAGGAGACAGGCCAGTACATCAGGAGACATGGAGGAGGCTGTAAGAGGGCAACAACCCAGCATCAGGACCGCTACCTCCACCTTTGTGCAAGGAGGGACAGCAGGAGCACTGCCAGAGCCCTGCAAAATGACCTCCAGCGGGCCACAAATGTGCATGTGGCTGTTCAAACGATCAGAAATAGACTCCATGAGGGTGGTATGAGGGCCCGATGTCCACAGGTGGGGGTTGTGCTTACAGCCCAACACCGTGCAGGACATTTGGCATTTGCCAGAGAACACCAAGATTGGCAAAATCACCACTGGCGCCCTGTGCTCTTCACAGATGAAAGCAGGTTCACACTGAGCAAGTGACAGACGTGACAGGGTCTGGACATGCCATGGAGAACGTTCTGCTGCCTGCAACATCCTCCAGCATGACCGGTTTGGCAGTGGGTCAGTAATGGTGTGGGGTGGCATTTCTTTAGGGGGCCGCACAGCCCTCCATGTGCTCGCCAGAGGTAGCCTGACTGACATTAGGTACCGAGATGAGATCCTCAGACCCCTTGTGAGACCATATGCTGGTGCGGTTGGCCCTTGGTTCCTCCTAATTCAAGACAATGCTAGACGTCATGTGGCTGGAGTGTGTCAGCAGTTCCTGTAAGATGAAGGCATTGATGCTATGGACTGGCCTGCCTGTTCCCCAGACCTGAATCCAATTGAGCACATCTGGGACATAATGTCTCGCTCCATCCACCAACGTCATGTTGCACCACAGACTGTCCAGGAGTTGGGGGATGCTTTAGTCCAGTTGTGGGAGGAGATCCCTCAGGAGACCATCCGCCACCTCATCAGGAGCATGCCCAGGCATTGTAGAGAGGTCATACAGGTACGTGGAGGTCACACACACACACACTACTGAGCCTCATTTTGACTTTTTAAGGACATTACATCAAAGTTGGATCAGCCTGTAGTGTTTTTTTACATTTTAATTTTGAGTGTAACTCCAAATCCAGACCTCCATGGCTTGCTAAATTTGATTTCCATTGATAATTTTTGTGTGATTTTGTTGTCAGCACATTCAACTATGTAATGAACAAAGTATTTAATAAGAATATTTCATTCATTCAGATCTAGGATGTCTTATTTTTGTGTTCCCTTTATTTTTTTGAGCAGTGTAGTTGTTTAGCGGAGTAATGACATTTGGGAAAAAACTATCCTTGTGTCTAGTTGTTCTGATGTGTGGTACCTATCATGTTGTTTTGAGGGTAGAAGTTGAAACAATTTATGTCCAGGATGTGAGAGGCCTGTAGATATTTTCACAGCCCTCTTTTTGACTCGTGCAGTATACAGGTCCTCAATGGAAGGCAGGTTGGTAGCAGTTGTTTTTTCTGCAGTTCTAATTATCCGTTGAAGTCTGTGTCTGTCTTGTTGGGTTGCAGAGCCAAACCAGACAGTTATAGAGGTGCAGATGGCAGACTCAATAATTCCTCTGTAGAACTGTATCAGCAGCTCCTTGGGCAGTTTGAGCTTTCTGAGTTTGAGTAAAATTTGGGGAATGTCACAAAAATATATAACTTAGAGAAGAGAGCACAGAAGCTTATATCTTCTAGCTTCCATATATTCAAGAAGGGACAAAGGAAGGAAAAAAGAAAGAAGAAAGTCCACAGAAGACAACTTACCCATAACCATTAAACACTAACTAGAGATTTTTTTTTTTAAATTCCATTTTAATTTTCCTTGTTTTCCATTAAAACCTATCTTCAAATGAAAGAGAATTTTTAAAAAAGATTACAAGATTTGCTTTAAATATCTCTTTAAAGTACTTTCCTAAGTATTAATTTTTTGCCTGTTATTTCAGTGTTGGAGAGCATTAATGCAATGTGAAAGAATGGTTGCCATGGAAATATCTCATTATTGTTGAATTTGAAAATAATTACTCTGCCAGAAAATCCCAGGTAACCTGTTAGTGCTTGAGTTAAGGATGACTAGGGCAGCCTTGACTCTTTCTTTTAAAAATGAAAATCATATTTTTCTCTTGTTGTTATACTTTGGAGGGAGGGAGTTATATATACAATTTCATTCTGTGGCAAATGTAGTATGTGTCATTTTAATTGGGAATATATAGTCACTTTGTATTTTTTCTCTCCCTCTCCCTCTCTCTCTCAAAGCAATTCAACAAGAATTCAGTGACTGATTTTCTTTCAAAGCAACTCATGAATAATTTTATGCTATTTACTTGTTGAAAACATTGAGTTAAAGTATATTTTAATATTCTAGTTCAGAATAATCACAATTTTGTAAAAAAAAAGTATATCTCAATATTTATTAGCTAGTTTGCATAGTTCTTCCCTTGTTTTGAATGTCAAGGATAAACTGACAAGATTTTTTTTAAAAAATTTTAATTTTATATTTTACAATAATTCTATTTCATTTCAATCATGTGTCGACTGGGTACATATATCTTGTGCTTACAATTATATTTAATACTTTTCTTATCAATGTAACAATAATCACATTTTCTTATAACTATTATTTAATATATCTATTTTTAACAATCTTATCTTATCACTTTATATATTCATCTAGTTCATTTTAATTTGTTTTATTTTCCAACCATTGATAAAATAAATCCCATACCATATAATATTCCGTTACTTCTTTTTCTTTGATTACCAATGTTAACCTATTCATTTCTGCACATTCAAATATTTTCTCAATTACTTTTCCCTCTATCGGTATTTTATCACTTTTCAGATTCTGAGCAAATACAATTGTAGCTGCTGTTAATACATGTATAATTAAATATGTGTTTTCTTTACTGTAACCTTCAGGTACCATTCCTAATAAAAATATTTCAGGTTTCAAATCTATATGTTGTTTTATCATTTTTTCCAACCATGTGTGTATTTTTGTCCAATATATTTTAGCTTTTATACAAGACCACCACATATATATTCCCGGTGTTTGGTGGCACTTCCAGCATTTGGCTAATTTATCTTTGAACATCTTAACTAATTTTGCTGATGCAAAGTGTGATCTATAAAACATCTTGTACAGGTTTTCTTTATTTGCTGTCAATATTGTTAATTTATAATTCCTATCCCATAGCTTCTGCCATTTATCGAATTCTATAGCATATCCAAAAAATTTTTGCCCACGCTATCATTGTTTCTTTAACTTGTTCTTCTTCTAGTTTAACACCTAGTAAATAACAATATAATCTTTTAATCAACTTATCCTCCGTTCCTGTTAATATTTTATCTAATTCTGTCAACTCCTTATGAATCCCTTCCGCTTTAATATCTTTTTCATATCTTGATTGTATTTGTGTATATGAATACCAATTCATTTCCAACTCTTGTTCATTCAATTCTTGTTTAGTTTTGAGCTCACCCTTTTCATTTAAAATATATTTATATCTAGCAATAGTTCCCATTTTACAAACATTTGGATCAGTGGTGGGATTCAAATTTTTTTACTGCCGGTTCTGTGGGCATGGCTTGGTGGACATGGCAGGGGAAGGATACTGTAAAATCTCCAGTCAGAGGTGGTATTTGCCAGTTTTCTGAACTACTCAAAATTTCTGCTACCGGTACTCCAGAACTGGTCAGAACCTGCTGAATACCACCTCTGATTTGGATGTATAAGTGCTTCCATTGTTGATAGCCAAACTGGAATCTTCCTATAATGTTGTTCTCTATTTTTTCCCATCTTCATATAATGCTGTTCTCTATTTTTTTCCCATGCTAATAACAATGCATTCCTGACCATATGTCTTTGAAAATACCCATGTATTTTACTTCTCCCAAACCACAAAAATGCATGCCAACCCATTTGCAAATCATGTCCTTCCAGAATTAACAACCTTCTATTTCTCAGTGTTATCCATTCTTTCATCCAGATTAATACCATGGCCTGATAGTATATTTCCCAATTAGGTAATCCCAATCCTCTTTTCTTATTTCGATCCCTTTTATCTCCTTTCCTTTCCTAATATTTCTATTTAGCACTTCTTCTTTTTTTTTAAGCAAGTTTTATTAATTTCAAAAACAAACAAATCATCATCAACCATTACATATTTGAACCTTTTTCCATTATAGATTTAACAAGTCAGATAAAACCTTATCTTATACAATACATTTCTATATTATTTCATCTATTTCTTTCTGACTTGATTATCGTCACTCTCTTTCTATGTTTCTACAAGGTTTCACCAATACTCTCAAAGACATAAACAGACACAAACATACATATAAAAAATCTTTTAGTAAAGTAACTTGGCCCCAGGTACCTCTCTTTATATGGGCTTTAATTATATTCATGCTCATCTTACAGATCATTACCTATTTTATTTACCATTCTGTATCTTCTATATAAACTTCTCCACACATTTCACTCTTCATAATTCTATCTTATTCAATCCATCTTAATTTAAATCATTATATTTGTATCTTTTGCCCATCCTTTATTATCCCTCTATCTCATTCCTTATAATGAAAAAAAAAGAATTTCTCCTGAAATCACTAATCAGAGTATGATGCCTTTCTATCCTCTCCCTAAATTAATTAGATTAACATTTAAAATAACACCTAATACCCAATTTGATTCTGCTTGGTACATTCTATCTACTAATTTTTACTTTTAGTAACAATAAAAACAGAGTAAAAAATCAAAAATGTTTAAATACATAATATCCTCCTAAATACGTAGTTAAATAATAAATCTAAATAATAAATCTTATAGCATTCTCATTGCCTTTCCCTTCAATATTTTATTACATTTTAAAAATCAATCATTATTAAACATTTCAACATTTTAATTTCTTATTAACTCTTAAGCCATTCTAATTTTCTATTTCTAATACAAATGTTACAATACCATCTTGTGTACCTTGCAGAATCTTTTTTAAGAAAATTTATGCTTTACCCATTATCCCTAAAAAAGATTCCTCTTTTCCCATCTAATTTTAAAACTTTGTGGCTTTTCTCCGCCTTTCCCCTTTCTTTCTTCCCCCACCAAATCTTCCTACCCGCCCTTCTTCTAACCTCTGTCTTGCCGGCATCCCTTCTCTGTTGTATTCCCTTTTTCTCTTGTTTGCTATCATTGTATTTATTTTGCATCATATTTTTCTCTTTCTTAAATGTTTTTTTAGATCTTAAGTCCTTCATTTTCCTCGCTTTCTTCCTTCCTTCTTTCTTAGATGAATTTTGGGATTCATTGAAGATGGCGTCTTCTTGTTGTTCTTCTGCTTCCATCTGTATTGTCTGTTCATAGTTAACCAACGCCATTTCTAAAAATAGAAAAGCTTTTTCCATACCATCTTTACAGGCTGCTTTTGTTTGCTCATATTCATCCCTCAGTTCCTCAAAGGAAAAAGCCATTATAGATCTTTTCTTTTCTTTTTTCCCTCTTTCTTCTCACACCAACCAAAATATTCCAAAAGAAAAATAAGACAATCCCAAAGTCCACAATCCTCAATCAAGCCAAGCCAAGCCAAAATTCCCCCTTTCTCTTCCAGGGGTAGTATCAGACAAAGAAAAAAGGAAAATTCAAATCTGTGTTTTGAAGCCTTATTAAGATTTTATTTCTGTTTTCAAATCCTTAAGGCATCTCCTCCAACAAAATCCAACCAGATAAATATATTTTTTGTCCTCTCCCTTCCGACTTATCCCAAAAAGCTAGTTTTACCTGAAAAAAAAACCAGGTTTCTCAACATCCATTTATTAATTCCGTCGGGGGGGAGAGTAAACTTTCCTTTCAGCATCTCAGAATTGCCGCTTATTTTCTCTTGTGGAAAGAATCATCCAAAAAGCCATCATTTTCAGGAATTAAATTAAATATATCTTAGAGTCCTGGATCGACCAAGAAGACTTTCACTTTTAAAAAACTTTCTCCTCTTCCTCCTGCCATACTTGCCCAGCTGCCGGCTTCTTTGTGGCGGCCATTACGGACCGCCGCTGCACCGTCTTGGTAAAAGGGGGTTCTGCCGGCTAGGGAGGGGGTCTGCAGCACCCCCAAACCCTTTTCCGGATCCCCCTACCTTCAGCTGCCCCTGCAGGGCAGCCTTGCTCCGCACCCTTTCGGGTCGGAGCCCCAAAAACGGCTAGCGCGGCAGGGATCGCGCAGCTTCGCGAATCCCTACCGCTCGCAAAGCCGACAAACCAGAAATCCTATTTAGCACTTCTAATATTAATACAAATAACAGTGGTGACAAAGGACATCCTTGCCTTATTCCTTTTTCAATATGATTTTTTCCCATCAATTTTCCATTAACCTTTGCATATTGTTTATAGTATATTGTCTTAATCATTTTGATAAACGTTTCCCCAAACTCAATTTCTTCCATTTGTGTCAACATAATCTGCCAGCTCACATTGTCAAAGGCCTTCTGTGCATCCAAAAATATCAAAGCCATCTGTTTTTCAGGGTGTGTTTCATAATATTCCAAAGTGTTTAAAATTATTCTCATATTGTCCTTTTTTGTCTCTTAGATAAGAACCCATTTTGATCTGAATGTATAAATTGATTTAAGTATCTCTTTAATCTTTCAGCCATTATTGATGCAAATATTTTATAGTCCAAGTTTAATAGTGATATTGGTCTATAGTTTTTAATCTGTTGTAAATCAGTATCGTCTTTCAGAATGAGAGTAATGTATGTCTCCATCCATGAGTTAGGTATTTTTGCCTCAATTAGTATTTCATTTACTACTTCTAATAGTATATCACTTAAAAAATCCTGTAGGGTTTTGTACAGTTCTGCTGGCAAGCCATTCAACCCTAGTGCTTTCCCATTATTTTGTCTTTTTAATTGCTTCTGTTAATTCCATCATTGTGATTCTTTCCTCTAACATTATTTTAATTTCTTCTGGTACTTTAGGTAGTTCTGCTTTTTTAAAATATTATTTTATTTCTCCTTTCCCCACTTGCTCTTCTTCATAAAGTTCTGTACAATATTTTTGTATTATTTCTTTTTTGTTTTCATTTCTATGGCAGAGGTTCCCTTTATCATCCATTAATTGAGAGATTCTTTCCTTCCCTTCTCTTTTTTCAATCTATATGCTGACCACCTTCCTGGTTTATTTGCATTTTCAAAAAAGTTTTGTTTGGAGCTTTTTATTTTTTTGTGCTAGTTCTTCTTTATCTATTATTTCCATCTTGTGCTTTGTTAAATTCATTTTATTTTGTATTTCCTATTTTTGCGGGTTTTTTTGAAGTTCTTTCTCCAGTTTTTTATATTCTTCTTCTAATATCTTTTGTCTTTCTCTTTCCAGTATATGTTATTGTTAGTCCTCTTATATAAGCTTTGACTGTATCCCATACATTTTGTAACGAGGTTTCCTCTTTTTTATTTTTCTTGAAGAAGAATTTCAATTCTTTTTCCAAATATTCAGTATACTTTTTCTCTTAGTATTGAATTATTCATTGTCCATCTTGATTTCTTCTTTTGTCCCTTCCATATTACTTTAATTGGATTATGATCTGCCCAAGTACTTGTTTCAATATTTATTTCTTGTATGTTAGTAATTGACTCTGTTGTTGCCCTTATCATGTCTGTTTTAGGCCAGGATAGATGTCTGTTCGAATAAAATGTGTATTGTTTGTTTTTCAGATATCTTTCTCTCCATACGTCTTGAATTGCTAATTCATCTGCCATTTTAAAGAATGATTTTGGTAATATTTTCCTTTTTTTTTTATTTACCTTTTGGGTTTTACAGTCAATTTCTACATCTACTATTGCATTGTAATCTCCTATAATAAAAATATTTTCATATTCCAGTTTTATTATTTTCTTATGTAGTTTATCATAAAACTCTTCTTGATTTTCATTTGGTGCATAAATTGCCACTAGTAATGTTCATTTACAATTCATCAATATTCCCACCATCAATACTCTCTCGTCATTGTCTTGATAGATTAATTTCATTTTTATAGTGTCCTTTATAATGCTATTCCTCTTTTGCTTTGTTGTGCTAGAGAAGTATATAATTTCCCATTTTTAGGGTAATCTAATATTTTCTCATGTTGTTTTTTAATATGCACTTCTTGCAAACAAATTATGTCCAATTTTAATTGCTTTAATTTGTTAAATATTCTTTTCCTTTTTATTTGCTGAGTTTAGTCCATTTATATTAATGTCATTAATTTTATTTCTTCTTCCATGTCTTTATTTAAGATACGCTTTTGTTACTCTTGTCACTCTCATCTCCCTTGGTTCCTTTGGTCTTTCTTCTCTGATTGCTCTCTCATCCTGTTCTCTTTCCTCTCCTCTTTGTTGTCTTTCGTTACCTCCTGCAGCTTCTTCTCTCCTTGTTATTTCTTCAATTTCCCTCCTTTTTTCTCCTTCAAAACTCACAAGACTTAAGAGTAATTTAAACTTGATTTAAAAAGAAATACTTCAACTACATTTTATGGTGGAAAAGGACAGATGTCCGATAGAAGCTATGATGATGGCATTGCTCAACTGAAACAAATTAGCTAATTTGTATGGTGACATGTATGTTGTCATTCCACTCTATCACATACACATAGACATACAAATGTGAATAAGATGGTGTGCTGTAAACATAACACTAATTCAATGAATGCATTGTATATCTTATTGGTTGGTTCTCTCTCATATAGAAGGAAGGGAGGGAGGATGGAAGGAAGGAAGGAAGGAAGGAAGGATTTATTGGTGTACCTGCAAAGCCTGTTTTTTTACTTCTATCTGACCCAACTGCCTATGATTTTGAGATCTGTGTTCTACATGTATCTTTCTTGGGAAGTGTGACTGTGTGCCAACATTTATGGAAATATAGTATCATTGCTTGTTGTAGGGTAATATTTCTAGATATTACACCCTGTTTGAACAATCATTGCAATGCAGCATTTATTTCAGCATGATAAGTATGGTGGCTGAGGTAATTGTATTTATCTTAAGCATTCTTTAATAACCTCACATGAATCAATATTTCACAACTTGACAGCCTGATCTTTTTCTGGGTGAAAATAGAAAATAGAGAAAATAGGATCACATTCACAAGCAGGGTTCATGTTTGAACAAAAAGAGTGAAAATCTATCTTCCTTTTTAATGTACTGAAAGTCTTGCTCAGGATGTTGTCTGTCAAGGCAAAGCACAAATAATAAACTGGAGATGGAATCTACTGCATATCTACATTTATCTTATTTGGTTATTTAATATAAATTATTCTTTAAAATATTTGTTTGACATGTTAGCAAATGAGATTATAAGTAAGATGCAAGGCATTCTTCATTATTAATAAAGGCATCCTGGATGTATGGGGTCATAAAACTCAAGAGGTGCTCCTAAATTGTGTGGTCCAAGTTTTATTCCTTGTTCATACATGAGATACCCTAAGAGGGGCAGGACTTTGATTGCAGAGTCCTATCCAGAGGTGGTGTTCAGCAGGTTCTGATCAGTTCTGGAGAACCGGTAGGGGAAATTTTGAGTAGTTTGGAGAACCAGAAAATATCACTTCTGACTGGAGATTTTACAGTATCCTTCCCCTGCCACGCCCACCAAGCCACACCCACAGAAACGGTAGTAAAAAAATTGAATCCCACCCCTTGTCCTATGCAATGTCTTTAACTCCCCCTGTCAATGTAGAGGCTCCTCATTAGCAATATTAGCAATATTTTAAAATAATAATAAATTATGAAATACTGGGAATTGAATACTGGGATGTGCAGAACTAAGTTGGATTCTTATGGAAAATGAAATCCATTGTTATACCAATCCTGCCTGAAGCCCTCAAAAAGATTTAAAAAATTCCTCTATATTCGGTGATATAGAATTTTTCAGATCTGGGCACCCTACTTTCCTAAAATCCCACCCTGCTTGGAATTGCCTATATTCTTAGATCTTACCTTAATAATTCTTAAGTCCTTGGTTAGAACTTTATTAAATATCTACAATCTTAGGCTGTAAATCTAAATGTAGACTACTGATACATAGTAATTTCCCTTTCTTGATATTTAGATAGGAACAGACATTGTTTTTAAAATAATAAAGTATACCTTTCCTGTTAAAAGAACATTTTTCTCTCTCTCAGGACAGTGACAACCTGTGGTGGGATGCCTTTGCGACAGAGTTTTTTGAAGATGACGCAACCTTAACACTTTCCTTTTGTTTGGAAGATGGACCAAAGCGATACAGTAAGGGGATAATATATTTTAATATTCCACAAGCTTGGAAACTTATCAGACCTGAAACTTATCAGTGATGAAGTGAGGAGATATATAAAGTCCTCCTTCAACTGTGGGTTATATTGATTATGAAATTCTTCTGACCAAATGTAGAGGTTAAAGTAAAAATGAAATGAAATGATCCCTTCCAAGCATCCAGTCTGTATTCAAATAAGGAGAATTAACTTCATATATATGGCATTTATTTGGAAAGCTGAATTGGAGATTGATATATCATGGACAGGCAGATAAGATGAAAAGAAAGGGTTCTGGTCTATTTCTGACACAAATAAAAGAAACAAGAAAAGCCTGTAAGTGGAAGGGAGTGGTCATAGATGGTTTCCCAGAATATTTCCATAAGCCCAACTCTTTTTAAAGAGAGTTTCAGTTGCAGAATTTTTATATTATACCATGTAATCTTACCATGGTTCTTTTGATGCATTCTCATCCAAGTGTTGTGGCCCCCCAGCTGCCAGCAGAGGTGGTGGCAGGCTCAGACAGTGAGGAGGTTGGGGAGGAACTTGGGCCAGTCCTGGAGTCTGGGGAAAGTTCTGATGGGTGTTCTGTGTCAGAGGCAGAGAGGGGCCAGGGCCGTCTGATATTTATCAGCTGCCTTTGGAGTCGGAAATGTGGGAAAGAAGAACAGCTGGAGCCTGTTCCAGATGTGTGCATGCACAGAGCTGTCAGGAGAAGGGAACAACTAAGGCACTATATTGCTATAGAAATGCATGAAACCAAAGATGAAAACCTCCTGGAATGCATATGGGTCAATATAAAAGAAAAAAAGAATGACATGGCCATAAGTGTGTATTATAGGCCACCCAATCAAGCAGAACAAATAGATGTCCTTTTTGCCAGCCAACTAGCAAACATATGCAGGAAACACACAACAATTGTAATGGGAGACTTCAATTATCCTGATATCAATTAGAAAACTAATTCTGCACCAAGTGAGAAATCAAATAAGTTCCTAACCAACCTAGCTGACAACTTTGTTGTCCAAAAGGTAGAGGGTAAAACTAGAGGGACAGCCATACTGGACTTAATTCTTACAAACAGAAAAGAAGTGATAGAGGGAGTTGAAACTGCAGGAACCTTGGGTGAGAGTGACCATGTCATACTAGAATTCAACATAACACAAATGCAAGCAACAGAACATTATGACAGCAGGTGTGCTGTCCCAGCCAGTCTATGGGAATTGGATAGTTACTTAAGAATTATGAACTGTCCCCTTAAGGGAATGCATCATGGTAAATGCAGTTAAAGGTATCCTGGGAAATGTAGTTCATGTCACGTGGCCACATCTGTAATCCTAATTGGTCACTAATTTGACCCTCGATGGGTTGTGGGAGTTTTCCTCACTTTTTGCCTGAATTCCCTAACTCATGGCAGCTGCTTTCTATCGCTATGAGATGGGTTAGGAGATAACCATCTTTTACCTACAAATCAGATATGCAAAGGAATTGGACATAAAGAAGAACTTCGTCACAAATGTGAGTCATGAAGATACCTGATGAACCAACAATAAATACTTTGTATTGATGTTTTGTTGAGCAATAGTGTTCTCTTCGCTGATGATGTAAAGCTATTCAACACCACAGATAATTCTGCTACCCTTCAAAAAGACCTTGACTATGTATCAGAATGGTCAAAAAAATGGCAACTTCAAATCTCAACAAATGAATGCTCTGTCTTACATATTGGCAAAAAATAAAATACAGGCTGAATAGTCAAGACCTTGTTGATGATCCAAACTTTGTCAAGGAACTTGGAATACTCATCTCAAATGATCTAAGTGCTAGAGCCCACTGTAACTAGATAGCCAAAAAGGCATTAAGATTTGTTAACCTACTCCTACGAAGCTTTTTCTTTGGTAATATCACACTACTAACTAGAGCATACAAAACATTTGCTAGACCAATACTTGAATACAGCTCATCAGTCTGGAACCCACATTACGTATCTGATATTAATACAGTAGAGAAAGTACAAAAATATTTCACAAGAACAGTTCTCCACTCCTCTACTCATTGCAGAATATCTTATGCCACCAGACTTGAAATTCTAGACCTAGAAAATCTAGAACTACGCTACCTTCGGTCCGATCTAAGTATAGTATATAAAATCATACATTGCAATGTCCTACCTGTCAATGAATACTTCAGCTTCAACCATAACAGTACAAGAGCACACAATAGATACAAAGTCATGGTTAACTGCACCAAACTTGATTGCCGGAAATACGACTTCAGCAACAGAGTGGTCAATGTCTGGAATAGTCTACCTGACTCTGTGGTTTCTTCCCCAAACCCCAAAAACTTTAAATTTAGACTGTCTACTATTGACCTCACCCCTTTCCTAAGAGGTCTGTAGGGGGTGTGGATAAGCGCACCAACGTGCCTACCGTCCCTGTCCTATTGTTTCTTTTTTTTTCTTATATGTATCCATATATGCATAACTATGTTTATACCTATCATCTTGTAAGCAATTGACAAATCAAATAAATAAATTGTGAGAAATAGAGAAGGATCTTTGTTTCATGTCTTCTTATATTTGGTAGTATTTAGAATAACATTTCTCTTATTCTTACCTACTCACTGATGGTTGACCAAACACTGTTATTGTTTATCTTAAAGCATGTGCATTCTGGATTTCCAGACTTTTCTATGAGAAAATCAAAGACAGCATGCATGAGCATAGGTAATTCTTGCAAGACTCCTTGTCTTTGAAAAAGACAGCTATCACACAATCCCCAAATGCACCCACCAACAGCATCCCTGTTGTAACTGGGTTAAGAAAGAGCAGCATATCAAACAATACAACTGTTTAATCCCACTTGCAAGCATTGTGTCCTACACTTTAAGTATCCAATTTATAGATTTGTTCTCTTCTGAACAAACTCTAGTTAATTGATGTGCAATTAATAGAAATTAGTTGTGACAACAGGAATGTTCACATACACACACACCCTTGATAAATCTTTTCATATGTAGACCTGCCCAATCTAACTAGATATTAATTGCTTTTTTGCTAATATATTTATGCTTCTTTAGCTGATAAAACAACTAACAAATTTGATATATGACAAGTTGAGTCCATCTAATTGGGTTGGATCAGCTGCAACCAGTGTTCCTACAGGCTTCTTTTTGAAAATTTGTACAGTTTTCAGTTGAAAGGGAAGAAACAAACAAAAACTAGGCATGCACCCCCCCAACTTCTTCCAGGTCCACCATTGCAGACCTTAAATGCAAGCTACTGAACTCAAGAAGCCTAGCAAATAAAATGCCTGAATTTCTACCACTACTAAATGTGACCCTTTTCGATCTAATCTTTGTCTACGAGACGTGCTTGAATGTATCCTTTCCAGAGTCTATTACCATAGTAACTATCATGTTTTCCAATCTGACCGTGAAAACCATAGAGGGGGTGGTGTTGCCATTTTCTATAAAAAGTCCCTTGATCTGAAAAAGATTCATGTTACACAGGAGATTGATCTTCCTGAGACCATCATCTGTGATCTGTCCATAAATACCAAACTTCACTTCTTACTATGTTATAGAGCTCCTGATTACGATTTCGATCATGCAAACAAGCTAACTGCGCTACTAACGTGGGCAGCCTCCGGCTCACACCCTATTATCTTTTTTGGTGACCTCAATCTACCTCTAATTAATTGGACTTTAAACAAATGTACAACTGAACCTATACATGCAACCCTGTACAATACCATTACTATTCTGAGACTGGATCAATTAGTAACAAACAACACTGGACTCAACAACTACCTTGATCTCATCTTCTGTAGCAGTTTAAACACAATTTATGGACTCTAAAACCATCTCTATCTATTGGCCCTGATGGATTATGTGCTGCCTTCTTAAAAAAGCTTTCCACTGCCATAGCTGAACTACTAAGCACAATCTATGAGATATCTTTTAGATCCGGCTCTTTGCCCAACCTATGGTCATTAGTCACAGTTATTCCTATCTTTAAAAAGGGAGACCCCAGCCTAGTTGAAAATTACAGACCAATCTCATTATGTTGTGTCACCTGCAAAGTAATGGAATCAATCATCAATCAATCCATTACCTACCACTTAAGAGACAAACAACCTACTCTCTAACAAACAGTTTGGTTTTAGGAAAAAATTGCCCTGTAATCTACAACTCCTACACTGAAAGAAACATTTGGACTATACAACTCAACTAGGGTAAAGCAATAGACACAATTTACACAGACTTCTACAAAGCCTTTGATTCAGTGCTATACAACAAGCTACTGTAAAAACTACACTCTTCGACATTTCTGGATCAGTGCACAAATGGATAGCTGCATTCCTGTCAAACAGGCAACAAGTAGTCAAAATAAGGAGTGCACTATTAAACCCTGCACCAGTTAACAACAGAGTCCCCCAAGGCAGCATTCTAGGACCCACTCTCTTTCTAATTTACATAAATGACCTTTGCAATCATATTATAAGCAACTGCATTCTCTTCGCTGATGACATAAAACTATTTAACACTACTGACAATACTGCTATGCTTCAAAGCAACCTTGACTATGTGTCAGAGTGGCCGAACAATTGGCAACTTCAAATCTCAACAAATGCTCTGTCTTACACATTGGCAACAAAAATCAGAACACTAAATACAAACTGGGAAGATATGACCTCATAGACAACTCTCACTCTGTCAAGGACCTAGAAGTACTCATTTCAAAAGCCCCAGAGCTCACTGTAACAGCATTGCCAAAAGAGCATTAAGAGTTGTTAACCTAATTTTGCGAAGCTTCTTTTCTGGTAACACTGTACTGCAAACCAGGGCATACAAAACCTTTTCCAGACCAATTCTTGAATACAGCTCATCTGCCTGGAATTCACATTGCATAATGGACATTAATACAATTGAGCAAGTCCAGAGGTATTTCAACAGAAGAGTACTTCACTTCTCTACTCACAATAGAATACTTTA